GCGATGAATACATTAACCAATTCTCGAATATTGATGTCAACGAAGACATATCGAAAGGAATAGCATTGAAAAATCAATTATTAGTTTGGGATAATTTGCTTGAATGCAGAATAAATGTACACAAAATCTTGATGGACAGCAATAGATGTCCACAATTTGATTGTTTAAATAATTTAAGAAAAGGTTTGGACGAAAAGAAACTGAATTATTCAGTGAAACAATCGAAACAATCTCTACACAAATTGTTAAAAATGTTGATTGATATCGATTTTGCTCTCGAATCACAAAACAGTATCATTTTAGACGAAAATGATTACTCGGAGACCAATGAACACCACATAACAAATGAAGATAAAAGTGTGAATAGAAATGATTTGTCAGGATTTATGAATAAACGAAAACTCTCTGACTCTGAATGTTGTGAATATCTGTCGAAAAGACATTGCAATTTGAGTTCAACCAGAAATCACTTATTAGACAAATGGTATGAAAAGACAAGATTCACGTCCAATGCCTTTAAGAATAAATCATTGGTTGGTTTGGAACAGTCCTCTACTCAACAAATCGGTCGCATTCTCTCTGATATGGAAAGACTTGTAAGAAGAACGCAAACTAAGAGATCTTTATATAGTATTATCGGAAAGACAGATATCGACGAGAAAGCCATAAATGATAATGAATTAAATGTAGAAAGTATTGACAAAAGTGATGGCAATGAAGTGGACGCAGAGATTTTCGATGACGACGACTTCTATCATCAATTGCTCAGAGAATTGATTGAATCCAAAACTGGAAGTCAAGCCAACGATCCGATGATTTTAAGTAAGAAGTGGTTAGAAATACAAAAGTTGAGGAATAAAATCAAACGCAAAGTCGACACAAAGGCCAGTAAAGGAAGGAAAATTAGATACGATGTGCACTCGAAGTTAGTCAACTTTATGGCCCCTATCAATAACGAGACGTTCACTGAATCGGCGACCAATGATTTGTTGAATTCTTTATTTGGGAACAATACTAACAAAATTAATTTTTAGTTAAATAAATTATTTGATATATGGCTTACTGTGAACTTAATAAAATATTCTATATATTAAATTTTGCGATACTTATTTATAATAATTTACAGTAAACTATTTTTTGAAAATAGTCACAATCGCATCCCTATTTACAGCATCATTAATTTATGACAAATTTTAATTGAAAAACGACTGAAAATGGCAACGGAATTACAGAATTTCTCTCTCTCTCTCTCTCTCTCTCTCTCTCTCTCTCTCTCNCTCTCTCTCTCTCTCTCTCTCTCTCTCTCTCTCTCTCCTGCCCTCCTCCCTCCCCTGTATACTCTGTATTTGTGTTTACCGGTATAGTTAACAATCACTATAATATCCATTTGTGTTTATGAATTGCATGAGTTTATTCTGTCATACTTTGCTGTTTACTAATACATTGGATACTCAATAAGAATTAATAAAATAAATGTTAGGAAGGGATCGGAGGAGAGGTAAGGTTATTATGTAATGTTGAGATGGCTTTCCGTTCATACAGTTTAAAATAAATGAGATGTTGTGTTGTATGCATGAAATGAAGTCCTCTCCTCTACTCTAGAATATAGCTCTGGTTAACTGTTGTGTTCCATACGCTCTCAAACATACATACACTACATCTGGCATTCACTCTATTCTCTATTCACTACATTGATGTTCATCACTAGTGACCTAACAGTTAAGCTGTTTTTATGTCCTGTTTTTTTATTATGTGAATTCAACTAAATTCATGATTATATTATATAAACCCACATAACTGGTCAAAAATACGCTGTTTTTACTTAATTGTAATGTTTTTGAAATATATTTATTTGAAAAGGAGATGAATTTTGAAGTGATGTTTCGTATGTAAAGCTTTGTGGGAAAGACACGCGCTCTGAGTGTGTGACTGGAGAACACACCTGAAGATAATCGATATAATGATTGCTTTATATGCTATTAGTTTCTCTTTGCAATTACAGTCAGTTCCTAAGGACCAGTAATTATGATAGAAAGACACGCGCTCTGAGTGTGTGACTGGAGAACACACCTGAAGATAATCGATATAATGATTGCTTTATATGCTATTAGTTTCTCTTTGCAATTACAGTCAGTTCCTAAGGACCAGTAATTATGATGAAGGCTCACAACAAGAATCGCAAACACCCGACCTGTTCCCGCTGCAGGTTTCACGGTATGAACACTTTAATAGTCACTATTTGTTAATATTCTCATATCAATTGAGTGTTATATCAGTCATAACATATATTCATTACAATTACATTGATTAAAGGCAAGAAAGATATCCGAGTTCTACAGCATCAATGTCCTTTCCGAAATTGTACTTGCTCCAGCTGCTTTCTAATTAAGTAAGTAAATGCTAATTAAATGCTAATAATTATACGTACAGTCCATAGACCTCAATATATACACATTATATATACAATGTAAAGAATATTCTCGATCGTGTTTTTACATATTTAATTTTTTAAAATGTTAATATTTTATTATAATATACGATATTATTGTTAATTTAACTGCACATAAGAAATGCAAACATTGTCTCTATTTCTAAATGTGTAAATCAATAAGCTATTTTTAAATTGTGTTATTTTTTGTTTGTTTATTGTCAAACATCTATCACTACAATTGGTTAGACATTTATTTAATGGTTTATTAGGAATTGTTTAATATTTAGATTATGTTTAAATTATGATTTACCGGTAATTATGACTTTATTAAAGGAGGCGTTCAATCATATATAGAGCTCAGAAAAACTTAGACAAAACAGAAGA